CCCGCCACTATCGAAGATAGACAGAGTCTGTACGAAGGATTACATCCTGCCGGGTACAAATGTGAAGATAGAGGCGAGGCAGGTGGTGGTGGTGCCGCTGTACGGCGTGCACATGGACGAGGACATATACCCCGAGCCGCACACCTTCAGGCCGGAGAGGTTCATGGGGGAGGAGAGGAAGAACAGACCTTCGCATCTATACTTGGCGTTTGGAGCTGGACCCAGAAACTGTATTGGTACGTATAACGTGTACAATTGGGAGATAGGCTCGTGACGTCACGTTAACAGACGATACAGCGCGAGTGCGGCCGAATGCAGCCGAATGCAGCCGAATGCGACCGAGTGGGGGACACTGTCAGGGTCAGTAGGATGGGATCGCGAGGCTAATATTTTAAAGCATTTTTGTTAGTCATATTTGTGTTTATTTATAGAATTACATTAAGAAAAAAAAAATAGTGCTTCACCAATGTCCCATCGGACGTTGATATTAATGATGTGGTCGAAACATGCCACTCGCTATTTGAATCACATAATTTTACTAAATAAAGTAATTATTTAATTATTTTATAATATTCAATTTAGCAAGCTAAATTCGTTTAATGCAAAAGTTACATAAGATATACAATAAGATACAAGTAAATAAATTTTTGGGTATTAATATAAATTGATTTTCCAGGTATGCGTTTCGCGATGATATCTGCCAAGATAGCGATGGTATCATTATTGAAGAATTTCAAGTTCTCTCCGTGTCCAAAGACTGAAAATCCTGTCTCCATAGACATGGATTCTTTACTTTTAAAACCCGCTTCCGGTTTATGGGTGAAAATAGAAAAATTATAAATCATTTTTTACATTTATTTACATTTGTTTTTGTGTGTTAAAATTATTTTTTAATAAACTTGGCGATAAAAAATCCTATACTATTTTTGTAAATGTCATCAACTTGCCTTAGTGGGTCATTTTCGGGTCCAAAACGTTGTACCATAATTCTGGAAACAATTCATAATTAACCAAACATTAGAAAAAAACATATTCAATATTTAAGTCAAGCATAAATGTTACAATTTAACTAAAAATGTTGATAATACTATTCTTTACAGAAATGTATATGCAAGCTTTTATATTAATTATAGGATGCTTTTAATATCGTCTAGAACTATCTACAGTATTATTTAAATAAGATCATAATCTGAATATAAAAGTATGGTGAATGTTTAAGATTTATCAATAAATATATTTGAAATATGTACCTTTGTTCATTGGACAACCCGACATTAGGTAAACCTGGACCTCCGAGAAGTGGTTCAGCGGGAACCAACTGCATATTCGGATGTTTTTCTAAAACCCATGCAACCATCCTTTCATTTTCTTCTTCAGTTATTGTACATGTACTGTATACAAGTATTCCATCAACTTTTAAGGCTTTGATTGCCTGAAAATAAAAATAAAAAATATTAATACAGTATTACTATCTATACATTCATATAAATGCGAAAGTTGAGATGTATGGATGTTTCTTAAAAGATATATGTAAAATGGTGTAACAAATTTTATTAAAAATTGGCTTAGCATGTAGCACTATATGTAGATAGTCTGGAAGAAGACATAGTCCATGCAGAATTTAAAAAAAAAAGATTAGTATCTTTTTTTAAATTTTGCGTGGACTGAGGCACGGGTGACAATTAGATAAAAAAATAAATTAAGTCGAGATTTAAAGGTTGTTAATTAAAATAAATAAGACTAAATATACTTGCCGCTTCAAACAATTTTCTTTGCACATGTTTATATGATTGTAACATCTTTGGGGTAATATTATTAGCCAACTGGGGTCTCTGACCCAAGCCACTGCACGGAGCATCTAAAAGCACTTTATCAAAACTATTCAATGGAAATGGTGGCTCATTGATTTCTCCCTCACTATCAGTGTAACATTTTTCAGAGTTAAAAGGGAATACTTTGACACAAGTTATCCCATGTGCATCTAAGTTTTTACTTATCCTGTCTATCTTCTGTTTTGTTTTATCCAAAGCTATTATATGTGCCTGAAAAAAGTCACGGGCTATCATTACAAAATTAATAAACTCTTAATTTATATAAGAAATAATTTTATAACAATGTTCACTGCATATAAACTCACTAGCTCTTCCTGTGCGGCATCATCTGCTTGAAGTTATAAAATCTTTAATGTATTGTTTACATTGTTATAACTTTCAATTGCAAGCGGTAATGAAAAAATGCACAAATTACAACAATGACTGTTAACATTGGCTACCAATTACCATCACCACGGCAATCTTGGTTTTATGATGCTTGAAGTTTTTGTCTCTTTCTCACATGACAATTTTGTCCAACATTTTCCCCCGTATGTTTAAGAGTGTTAAAATGTATAGCCTAAAGTGTGTTGTAAGTGTGGGCTTTTTATTAAAGAAAGAATTAATAAATAGGTACTGTGATTGCTGACATCTTACATAACTAAGAAGTGTGTGTACACATTTTATTATATTAAGTACAGATTATAACAATTACCTGATTATTTGACATCTCAGCCAAATGTGTTGTTTTATTTCCAGGCGCTGCACACATATCTAGAATATGCTCATCAGGCTTTGCATTTAGAACCCAGCCAACTACAATTGATGGAAGGTTTTGTAATAAAATATGCCCCTCTGGGTAAATAGATTCATTTATAACTGGCAACCTTGAAGCTGGTAGCAACATGTGTATGGCAATACCACTGAAAAATATAACAAATTATTCAGAAGTACTCAAATTATGGAATTAAACACTGTACAGTTCAAGTTCTTTAGGTAATCAGTAAATCTTATCAAAATAATTTATAGAACCATAATTTTTACTATCTGTCAATAAGGAATTTTTTGTATTGTATTAAATATTTTTTGTTAAAAGGACAGTGTGATTTATTATTTCATATCATAAAATTATACCTTGGCTGGACACCATTATCAAACAATTGATATCGTTGCATTTTCAAATAACCTGTTCCAACATACATTTTTCTGCCTTCATAAGGAACTTTGAGACCTCTTTTACATTGACGATCTAAATCTCCATACACATCAACTCTCTCATTTAACTTACAACCTGAAACATTAAAATTTCATTTTAAAATCTTAAATACAATGATTAGGTTTAATAATTGTTCTTTAGTAAAAAAAGTGACATAGTCTTGATAATTTATTTTAGAGAATAGTCAAGGAAAAGTAACTATATAATAGCTTTTGCTAGTATGTAACTGGTGTTAAGTGGAAGTAATGAAGCATTGGATTTGTAAATAGTAAGATGATTTTAATTTTTTTTTATACTAAGTTAAAAACTTGATAATAAATTTTATAGTTGTATAAGATGGTCATTTGATCATCATGCTACAAACAATTAGAGATAAAGTGTCATACTCACTAGTTGGAAGAGCTAACACTCCTGGTGCAAAAACATGAGCACCTCTTAGTACTGCAATTGCACAGGAAACATCAACTATTACTCCATTTTTAGATTTTTCTAGGATAACATTTTCTGGCCACTTTTCAATAATGAGGCAATCTTCTTTTAATAAATACGTATTGGGTATTTGCTTCACACCTAATTCGTGACTTTGCTGAAACATTTTAGATTACATAGAAAAATTAACAAACATATTTACTAACAGCAAAATGGGTATGTTTAATAGCAATGCTAGGCTAGTAATATTGAAAAGTGTCATCATTCATTCAGGATTTAGGAGTAAAGTGCTATTGAGAGATATGACAAGGTATTTCGTAGAACTTACTGTTTCTAAATGGTCTTTCATATTTTTTATATCAAATTCTTTCAATCTATTAATTCTAAATGATGTGAAATCTGGGGTTTCCGAAAGCCACTTCGTTATTTTATTCAACATCTTGAGTGTTGAATTTTGATGTTTAGCAGGTTAGGGTTGTGCACATAATTTTAATGTATTTATTATTTGACACCATAATATATATTGCTTAATGTAATCGAAAGTAGACAGTTAAGATAATTAAGTTAAGCATAAAAATTAAAATAAAACTGATATCATCAAACAAAAACATAAAAAATAGATGTCATGTCAATTGTCAACGTCAGATTTAAATTGAAATTTGAACTTGAACTTTCAAATTTCGTTCGAAAACTATAACAAAAACAGACATCTATCAATCATGCATCAAAATCATCTATCAATATGTTGAGCTGTGTGAAGGCTTTAAGACTGCGTTAAAAACGTTTTTTTTTAAGTTTTAAGTTCAGTTTGTGAAATCCTACTCTACAATCGGTAGGCAATTTATTGCAGCCTTGCATTGGTACGTACGTTATAGAAATTATGAAGAAGGTGCAGGAGGTATATGAAGAAAAGATGAACCAACAATAATAGACATTTAATGTGAAGTCATAGTATCTTTACTGTCCCTGTCCTTGTAGGATCATACTAAGCTCTTCTCAGTTCGTTGTAAGTAAACTCTAAAGAAAATTAGCCAAAATCCTATAGTTTGCGCTTATTTATGAAGATTGGACTTAAATTATGCTCAGGTCAATATGAAGATAGAATGTCCCCAATTAATGTCACAAGTACCTAATTATGGGTTATTGGAAATTAACAATCATGCCTAGCAATATTTTCAGCATTCATATTTTCCAGAAATATTTTAACTACTCCTATTTTCACACTGGCCACTTTTTCGTCGATACGTGGCATAAGCACGAACAACTTCCACGTTCGCCGCCATTTTGACATCCAGCGATTTGTAGAGACTTTATTGAATTGTAGCGTTTTTCGTCATATTTCGTATATTTGCTTCCGAAAATGTAAGTACATTTATAAAATTATTTGTAAATATATAGTTTTTATTTCTTCCGCACTTGTATCTGATGATTTTCACCATCGTAAACCCTGGGTGGTAGCGGAGGTATCAACAGCGGTGTCAATCTTTGTCCAAATTAGTCGTAGTAAAACTAATTGAATTGTGTAGTTCGACGGTGTTATAATTTGAAAGTCAGAGGTGCATATTAACTTAAGGTATTACTAACAATTGTATTACAAGAAATCTGGTTATTGGTGTTGAGCTGCCATGTCATTATCATTGATTAAAAGTAACGTAGTCTGACGGATGAGTCAGAGAGATTTCATTTAATAACTTAATAATTTCTCTTTCAGACGACTTAAAAAGCTGCAAAATGGGGAATATGTTTGCAAATTTATTTAAAGGCCTATTCGGCAAAAAAGAAATGAGAATATTGATGGTGGGTCTCGACGCCGCTGGTAAAACTACAATTCTATACAAACTAAAATTAGGCGAAATTGTTACAACAATTCCTACTATTGGTAAGTACTAATTATTTGTATTTTAGCAATTTTGTTAGTATCCAAATATTTGTAATTTTTTAAAGTTCAGTATATAAGTATTTCATATCTGAATTTAAGCTACATTTATTGTTAATTTTAAATTAATTTTTCTACCATGGAAAGATGCCAAAATGTACTTTGTTTCATTTAATATATGATAAACAAGTGTACACATGTAAACATATGTAACTGCATTTTCTTCATAGATAATATATTTTATGAATGTAATCAAGGATATATTAGCATCTAGCCTATAATAGTAACATAACCTGAATTAAATTGGTCTTATAAAGACATTAAATTTGTGTAGTTTAAATGTTACCTCAACTTTTGGCCATAAAAAGTGAAAGTTAAGATTATGATTTGTAATTGTGCAATTAATGTTTTGTGTTATAATCAAAGCTTTGTGAAATTACAACTATCTTATGCCTTGATCAGAGGAATAGGCAAATATCTATGAAATTATTATTTAGTCATGTATAGTATATTTTGATTGCATTTTGTTAGTTTAGAAGAGTTCACCGTAATATCCCTTTTCTTATAAGGTATAGGATAAAGAAGTATATATCTAAGAGAAGGGGATTTAGAGAAAGGGGTAATATTCTTCTTTTTTTTAAATCTTTTTAACTACTTGAATTTAGAAGACTGGGCTGTGGTTTTTTACTTGTTAATGAAACTAGGTGGTCATTCTGTTATTATCCCACTTCAATTAAAAAACTAAAATGTAGGTATATTGTTTCAGGGTTTAATGTTGAAACTGTAGAGTACAAAAACATCAGTTTCACCGTATGGGATGTCGGTGGTCAAGACAAAATCAGACCACTGTGGAGGCATTACTTCCAAAATACACAGGTAATTAAATTTAATAATATTATTTTGATATAATAGGAGATGAAGTTTTGAACATTATAGGCTCACCTTTTAATTCATATAAAAAACTGTTGCATAGATTATATGTCAAATTGCATCAACCTTTTTTTTCAAAGCATTCTAGTGGAGATTAGTAATTTATTGTTTTAAGTTTTTAGGTCAATAATTTTACCTAATAAGTGAATGTGTAATGCTATGAAAATTTATTAGCCTGTAGATAAATGCTTTTATCATTTTTATGTGGGTGTGTCATTTGGCAATTATGTTACTTGTATTCAAATGTTTGGTAATGATTATCATGATTTCATTACTTATTGACTAACTGACTGGTCTATGAATACTTTCTCTTCTTAGGTCACTTTTGACAACAATATTATTACTTAAATATGTAAAGAGTTATGTAATTATTTAAGAGGTCACACACTTGGTCATATAAGGTACACAGTACAAAGAACAAAGTACACAGTGTCCAAGTACAGTACAGGTTGATCAACCCTCAGTGCTCTTCTTGATTTTTGTGACAATTGACAAAGTTGTGTAAATCATGTTTCCTCACAAGATTTTCACACCTTCTATTGAGTAAAGAGGAAGGAAGTATCTATAGTACATAATCTAAAGTTGTTAATTAAGTGTAACTTTTTTTTATAAAAGTGGACAAAAGAGTAATGGAAACATCCAAGTTCAACGGCATTCAGTAATATGTAATAATAACTTGGTGTGTTTGTTTTTACAATTTAATAATTTTCTTTTAGGGTCTCATCTTTGTAGTAGACAGTAACGACCGAGAGCGTATTGGCGAGGCGCGCGAAGAACTCATGCGGATGTTAAGTGAAGATGAACTACGAGATGCTGTACTTCTCATCTTTGCAAACAAACAGGTCAGATAATTTGTATCATTCTAATTATTGAAATAATTTTATTACATTTTTCAAATGTTGTTAGATGTAAAATATGCAAATTTGTTTTTTTTGTCCTTTGTTACATAACACAGTACAGATTGTATTGTATGCTCAAGTTGAATAATTAGTTAATGATTTAATATCAGGCACTTTGCATCTATTGTTTGAAAAAAGACAACATTGAATAAATTTTCTGGTACTTCGTATAAAATTGTGTTAATTTTTATATCATTTACATCTTGCAAGCATAAATGCCAATATAGTTCACATGTAACTAAATGCAAAGACATCCAAAGAATTTTCATTGTTTCTTTCACAGTTTTGCACTTCATAAATTAATTTCAATACAATAATCTTAACTTGTTCAGATGTTAAGAAATCTTTTCTCAGTGTAAGTTATTAGAGAAAGTAGGAATATTCAGTGGCAATGAGACTGTCTTATTTAAATGCTTAAGGGCACCACAGTCTCATTTTCCTATTTCATTTTGGAGAAATGTTTTGTTATATTTTCTTGTTATTTTTGATTAGCCAACAAATTCAAGTTAAAGCACTAATGGGTCATTGAGTTTTTTTTACTAGATCGTTTTTGATATCTCATTGTAAATGGTTACATTTTCTCACATCTAGAGAAGGGTTACTTCATTACATATAATGTGCTATGTAGGTATAGTACAGTGTAGTGTTGCAACGTGTGTGTGCGTGTTGTAGGATCTGCCGAACGCGATGAACGCGGCGGAGATCACGGACAAGCTGGGGCTGCACTCGCTGCGCAACCGCAACTGGTACATCCAGGCGACGTGCGCCACCTCCGGCGACGGCCTCTACGAGGGGCTCGACTGGCTCTCCAACCAGCTGAAGAACGCCAACCGCTAACCACAGACAATCTGATTACTGAAAGAGACTATGGTTTAAGATATGTTAACTTTATTTGCTATAAATGAATACAATGTATTATGTGCGGATTCATAAATGTAATGCGTCACCCGGTGACCGAGCTGCATCGCATTCTCGCTCAACTTGCTACCCTCGACCTAACAGTTTGTGTAACCGTTCCCTTTGAATCCCTTGCAATTAACAGTTTCAAAGTATAATCAGTGTACAAATTATCCGGAGGTGGGACTGTGAGTAGCGTTAACTGTGTTCCACATCTCAAAGGATGCGTTGTTTGTTCGTGCTCTGATGACGTGGAACAAACGATAGAGTGTAAAGTTTGCTAAATTACAATATTTTTTTTGTTTACAATAATCAATACAACAGTGGATCAGTGTACACTTAAGCAGTGGTCGTGCATTGTGATGTGGATAGGTTCGTAGCTGACTCGTGATAAAGAATCACAGCATAACATGTTTTATATGTATACTATAATGTGGAATAAGTTGTCGTAATAAAGTATTTAAAGTTAATTCACATATACGACTTTCAATATTCACTCTATTAGTTAATTAGTGGACCGTATCTAACAACTGCAGTGCTTGTGGAATGTATTAGTGTGCCTGCTGTCTTCTGTTTGTCACATGAATCAAGAATAAAGTTCTCAGGTCAGCTTGTAATATAGTTTATTCCTTTGTCTTTAACCTGATTATCCTAAAGGTCGTGTGCTTGGTGTTTCCCACTGTGAGCTATTTCCGTTCATAACAAGGAGATTATTTTCAAGTGCCACAATATATCCCACCTCGGCTGAAACCTATTCACATTGCTCGGACGGTATTCCTTCCCCTAAAACTCAATGGAATTTCAGACATTTATAATTTGTATGACTTGTATTATGTTTATTTTGATTGAAGTTAAGTAGGTAGCGTAAGCTGTTATGTATTTTACATTCAAAAAACATTACATATTAATACTTACGGAGATGGCTTGTTGTGATGGACCTGCATTTATTTGATTTCTCATGACGAACCGATTAGTTTTAGGTATTTGTAATGATATAACACATGTCTACAGATCTAGTGTTCCCTGCAATGGGAACTCGGACTGGGATGTTTTTTGATCATACACAATTAATTATAACTTAGCGTTTTTATAATGATTTAGAAAAAATTGTTGACACCCTGTCAAGGATATAATGATGTAGGACGTGCGATGGATAGTTTTTTTTATTTTCACGGAAATCAAGGAGATAAGTGAAGAAGCGATATGTGACATTCCGGTTTCTCTTATGCTGTATTATGGAATAAAGTATCCTCACCAATTTTGGTTTTTTTCTAAACGAAATCTACCTCGAAATTCTAAAAACTTTCTCTTTCTTTCCAAATAATGATTTTGAAAAATTTAGAATGATTATTCTATCTAGAATCAATAACACACTTTTACATACAATATTAATAAAATTCAATTATTCTAATGATTAGAAATAATTGACTTTTAATTACGAAACCAAGAATCATTATACTTGTTTTATTTTTTAGTCAATATTTAAACTTAATCTCATTATTATTTTAGTTAACGTTTAAGAAGTATGTACAAACACAAATATATAGAATAGAGTCGTGTGTTGCATTTATTGATTTTTCTATAGCGATAAGTTGGTACGGCCGCAGTATTATTTATGGAAATGACGCAAAACCTCAAGTCGTCCGTGACGACCTCGCTAATGGCTTGGGGGCGCGTTGTGTATGTGCCACTCGTGCTGAACCCGCAAGGTTTATCACAGTAAAGAGATAATACGTGTGACGTGATTTTCATCGAGGTAATTGACACATTTACCCTGTTAAAAATAGATATTAAAAAAATACTGATAAATCATAAAAATAAAACGTCATCTACTACAGTTACCCTCCTGTAAAGCCTTTGATGGTACCGCGTTATAGGAATCCACTGTATAACACGTTTTTCACCAGGAGAGACACAAATCGTGTTATAGAGGGATCTTTTAAAAATAGTTGGATACGATCGCGTTATAGGCGGTAGTTTCCCGCGTTATAAGGGGGTTTCTGTACTCATTTGTTCATGGACAGGTTCAGGATTTGTAGAGAAACACAAAACGGAATAGCAGTGCTTGGAGTCTGCGAAATCTAATAGGAACTCATTGCAGATCTAAGGTAAATTGTAAAAATAGAAATGCAGCAAGTTCGAAAATCGATTAACTGATATAGTGGAAATATCTCAATTTGTAATCAAATGCGCTATTTTAATATAGTTCTGTTGAATTCCTTTTTTGGATTACTGTCTTAGTAAATGACTTACTGGCTCGATCTTCGTCTAACGTTCTGAAAACAAAATACAGTACATACATCGGAAGTTTACCGCAACAATAAAATACTCAGTAATGGATGTGTGATGTGTGATGTTTCTCACTAGTAAACATTTCCTCGAATAAATAAAAGATCTAAAGAAAAGTTTCTTTAGCACTTTCTGAATGTGTCTAAGATTTCTACTGGCGCCTGTTGGTTTTTTATATCTATTTTACTAACCCTATAAACACTTTAATGTTTGAATACAATCATTTGGCAAGCTTTATTCAACATCCAATTAGTTAGATGTTTGTAAACGAATAGAGAAAACAAACAGAGGTTCCTTTATAACGTGTCTTAGATTTTACTAATATTTATAACAGTTCTTGTAAATAAATTAATATACTGAATCATGATGTTCATGGGCAACGGTTGCTTTCCGTTACGGTGAATTCAGGTGGCCGCTTGCTTGTTTGCCACCTTATGTTATAAAAAAAATCATATCGCGGTGGTTCATATCTGATTTAGGGAAGTAGCTGATTTCGTGCGGTTATTCGCATGACATTATAAAAACTTTATTTTATTGTTTACATTTAGTAAATCTTAGAACGGAAAATAAAATGCTCGATAAAGAAGGACTTTATTTAGAATTTAATTAAGTGTAACAAAAGTACGTAGCCCATGTGTACTAATAGACAATACTCTACATCTATGCAAAATTTTATCGAGATCCGTTTAGCATTTTAGGCTACAAACTTTAACAAACAGCCATCCATCAAAATTTTTGCATTCAAAATATTAGTAAGAAACAGTATTAGTAAGATAAATAGAAGACAGATCTGAGGCATGTTCTATCCAATTCATTAGTTGTAAGTAATTGAAATAATAATAACTAGTTAGAGAAAGAAATATAAAAAAAAAAGTTTCATTGATGATATAGCTGTTTTTATTGAGTTTAAATTCTTGATAATAAATTAATAAAGGGGCACTGGCGTAACGCCAAACAAACCGAAGTCATTCCCAATCAAAGTAATTATTTGAGACGTAATATATTTGAATATAATAATATTAAGTTTATTAATCCTTTGAACGTGAAATGGGGTGAACATACTAATCATCTATAAAATCGTGCATATCATGTTAGATTTTATCAGTAAAGAAATAAGTTCTCTATCTTTATTGATATAGCAAGAAAACGATTTTGTAGTGTTGCCACATATTATTTAAGAATATAACATCAAAACCGACTTTACTTTGGCGTCAGATCGTAGTTGAGTAGAAAATTGAAGGCAGTGTTCTTCTACCCTCTTGGTAGCGTAACTTTATTATCTACGATGAAAAAAAGTGATCGGTCCATAATACATATGTTATTGTTGTTAACTTCGAAGGAAGAAAACTGAAGTAATGTAGTTTTAACTTAAAATCATGGTTTCATGTACTATTATGGCAACAATCTATTATCAATAAAATTCGTAATCATCCTGAAAGGAATAGCAGAACTAAGCTTTGGCTGTGTATGTTTACCTCATTTTTGTTGTGTAAAAAATGATTTGGTAATACTTTCGTTAAACAAATCTATTGTGTTAAATTACCACAACACAATGAATCGAATCCCTTTTAATATTTTATTGAGTGTCCAACTTGTTTCAAAATAGTCATAAATCTTTAATTAAAAGGTCCTGTCTTCGGAACGAAACACAAATACAAGTCAATTGTTTTATCAAACCTTTGCTCTTCAATTCAATTAAATAAATTCACTCTGACGCACTTAATTGTTGCCACAGTATATAAATAGACGGTGTGTCTATTTAAATCATGTATGCCTAACTCTGATATAAATAGCATTGGTACGTAAAATTAATGGCATTTGGTACTAGACATTTAGCTCAGTATATAATATAGGATATATGCCTAGTTGGGCTTTTTGCCAAATTGAGCTGTTGTGTACCGAATTTAATTCAGTAAATTATTATAAATGCGTCCAGCGTGTATGAAATGGTCGCAACTTATAGAATTGTGACACTCGAAGACAGGATATTCAATTTTAATGTCGCACTATGTCCGTTTATTATTTCAATTTCAACACGAATTTCAAAATACTTTGCATCTGCATATAGAGTAATTCCACATTAAAATATTTGTCACTGGCAATAACTTTCTATTATAATAATTAAAAATTTAGTTTGTGACAATCGAGACAGTTTGTAAACTACTAGTTCGGTTGCATTATTGCGATTCATAAATAGCGAGTGCCTCTCAAAGACTTTGTTACTATTATATTAGATTTTTGTTAAAAAATTTAGGAAACGGAAGAAATAGTGGGTAAACAGCGTGCTTACGACGCGCGTGTGCACGAACAGCGTGCCTGTCTTCGAACAGCGCGCCTATCTCCAAACAGCACGACAGCACCATGCCTCTGAATGAGTAGCGCGAGACTAGCATGTAACAGTTGAGATGGTTTACTTCCCTTTTGTTATGTAGAGGTGGGCATTGTTATGCTTTACTTTCCATTTGTAAGGGCGAGTTGGGCACTTTGATGCTTTACTTTCTATTGTTAAGGTAGAGGAGGATACTTAGGTGCTTTACTTCCCGTTAATTTTAGAGCAGTACGGTAGATTCGGCTGGATTTTGCGTCGCTACTGTGTAGCTGTGTTGTGTGGATTTCTACTGTGTTAGATGTTTCAGATGCAAGCTAACACTATAAAAATGTCGTTCAGGTGTCTTAAATTGCGTAGTTTAGAACAGTTGTGCAATATTCACTTTTGTTACTACAAAAAAAATATTTTTGGCTGGTCTTCACTGCCGATGTAAGAGTGCACGCTTAAGTCGGTAGTGGGTCCTTAGTCAGTCTGTTGGAGCCTAAATGTTTGTGCACCAGGTTTTCGCCTTAAAAGGCGAACAGCGTGACTTCATCTAGCATGTGTTCGTGCATCACGCCTGTACGTGTGAACAAAGCTCCTGGGTAGCGCCCGTCTACGAGCGACGTGATGGCTGCTAGCAGCGCGCTCGCTTCGAGTCTAGCTAAACGCCCGTCACTAAAGCACGCGACAGCGTAGCTTTTGTCAACGAGCAACTCGTGACTGCGAGCCGGAATCAAGAGCCTCCAATGCTACTGCTGGAGATGGATTCGCAGTATTGAAAACACTGAAAGAGCAAGACCGAGGACGGTCTCATGTTAGTATAGGCTGTGTAAGAAAATATTAGGAAACTGAAAGATTGGGGGGAGTTTTATAAAAGACTTTACAGTGAGTCGATCAGTAGCTCAGTACTTTTCTAGTCGTCACGTTACGTAAAAAATCACCGAAAATCAATCTGTTTCCCTGTTCATATTATTTGTAACTATAATACATAATTTTCTTACAAGATTTTTATATCAGCGGCGCGGCCGCCATGTACGAATACTTTTCTTGAAACGCTTCAAGGAAATTGCAATTATTTTGTACATCTAATAACTGACATTACTAACGTACTTACACTACTAGGCTTAGGTGTATGATTAATTGCAGATTCGTAAAGTATTAAGCAAAAAGATGAAATATGAAGTAAAGAAGAGAGTTTCTGGACTATTAGACTATTTAATTTAAGTTGTAATTTATATAGAAACAGACGCGCTAAACAAAATTCTACACTAGCTCAGTGCGTTTGTAGTTCAAAATGCAGTAGAAGGAGGTTGTGGGGCGGCGCGGCGGGGCGGGCGGGTGTGCCGGCGCGCTGCAGTTTTCCCCGCCCGCGCCGCAGCGAGCGAGCGGCGGGCGGCGGCGCGCGAGTGCCGCGTTTTCCGCGAGGGGCGCGGCCCCCTCGCCCTCGCCCGCCAAGCCGGGAAATCCACCGCGCGCTACACGCTCCACTCAGTCCGAGTCTGTCGCCGTTGCGCAGTGCCGTGTTACAGTCGCGCGCCTCGCTCAGCTCGCGTGCCATACGCCGATACTCTCGCAGCGCCGTGCGCCGGATCGCGCTCGTTCCCCCGGTGAGCTCGTGCCGTCCCCCGATGTCTGCAGGTGCGGGCGGCAGCATGCTGCCCGCGCTGGCGCTGCTGCTGCTGCTGGCTGCGCCGGCTGCCGCGCGCCGGCATGCGCCCGACTTGCGCGAGGATGAACCCGCTCGCCGCACTACACGTCCCGCCGGTGAGTTCTCACGCCACCGCCATACACATACTATTGCATGTGATTGCAGCCGTGTGTTTTTATGTAAATAGCATTCCGTAACTGTCGCTGCGTCCGCTGCAGCGATTTCGCATGAAGCGCACCAGCGCTTGCGGCGGCCGCGAGCGAGCGATCGTTCGTAGAGTAGGTGCGTGCCGTCATCGATCGCACTATCGATCTATATCGATAACGTCGTCGAAACGATATCTCGCGTATCGGACGTATCCTTATCGCCACGATATCAGTACTGAGGTGGGATAATAAAAACAATGCCATGTGAGTGGACGTCGATAAGCGTTCGATTTGATACAAATGTAAGAAATTTTCAAGTGATCTATTTCGGTTGCATGATACAGTAAGCGATCTATTTTATCGGGCAAAGACACCTTAGGAGATAAAGATTGACAACAAATGTGTGAGCCAGCATGTGACCGCGCCTCAAACAACTGTCAGATTATCTTTATCCAATACATGGTTTATTTTTTATATAGCGAAAATCAAGAATGTACAATTTGAGGCATTTAGCTAATATCAGGGCAATTCAAATTTTCCTTCATTATCCACGAAAAGGAAACGTTGAATTGTGATATAAAGAAGGTTGACTCTCAGTCGTGACCTCACATACAAAGCCCTCTCTAATATATTTAATTATAGGAGCTTAGCATTAAATACATTTTAGTTTATACAGTATTGGATAGATACATGCTAATAAAACTTAAACACTAAATAAAATTATCGTCAATTTACGTAACAAGGAAGAGTAAAAATAATCACTCATAAAAATGATGCGATAATCTGGGTTTATTATCTTCACCTTTAACTAAGTCATAGTTTTATATGTTTTTGATATTAAGATAAAAATAAAAATGTATGGAATAAAACTACCAAAGTAAATAGGTTGCAGCTTAGGTTCCTTTGGTTAAGTTGATCTTTTGTAGCCTGATTGGGAAAACGGGGAAGAAAATATAATTATTATCAATTTAGACTAAATTTTCCAGTTTTAATGGTTATTTTTTTTAGTTAGAAACGCCTTTTATTCCGAATACAGATTTGAAAGATTCGGAAGAAAGTTTTAAAAAGTAAAATATAATTTTGTTGTTTTCTTTTTCTACTCGTAAAATTGTTGTTTCACGAGTGGTTATGTAGGTATTTATTTATTAACCTCGGGTAGAAACATTTTAAGTATTTATTTCAACGAAACACGGCAAAAGGTATTAGTTATAGAAACAGTGCATCGTCTAACATTGCGCAGGGCAAGTTTTGCATTGAGCTTGTAAAAGGCAACACTGCACTGTACATATTGGAATCTTATTAAAACTTTCGTGAGACGAAACACGGCTATAATTTATATATTGCAATCTTGTCTTAGATTATAAACAAAACTATTTAAGCAGTCCTTTGTTTCCGTTAAACTAAAATATGCTTTAGAATTAAACAAACATAATTATTATGACTAAACTTGCCTTCCTTAAAATAATAAAGTTTATGAAATTCCTCCAATAGTTTACAATCCAAACCTTATTTGAATTAAAAGGTTTGGGCAAAGTAATATTATGGTAACATTTCTTTACATCTGTATTGTTTCTAAACTTCTTTTTAGAAATACTCGCATTTAGTTTATACTAGCTTTCTCCCGCGACTCCGTTTACGTGGAATAAAAAAAACAAAATCGAGTAGCTTATGTGTACTTCCAGACTATCCTCTAGTTCTATACCAAATATCATCGAAATCTGTTAAGCTGTTTAGGCTACAAACTCTAACAAACATCCATCCATCTAAACTTTCGCATTTATAATATTAGTAAGATTATGATATAAGTATGATGGTCATCGGTGTTCCAATATATCTTCGTCTGGTTTTTAATGATTTTATGTTAAAAATATCTGAAGCATTTTCATTACTGGAAATGATCTACCGCAACCGATTTGAATTCGATTTAAATAAGCACGTGGTTATCTTTATTTGTAAATTAATTGTTATCGGTGTGTTGCCATATCATATTTTAAATATACTATGTCGTACGATTTTATAATCTTATCCGCCGTCAATTATAATCAGTTGTATTATAACGTAAAAAATTACCTAATAACAGATTTAATTACTACATCTTTTATTACTGAGTCAGTGTACATACAATTTTTTTCTTTACTCGCAACTCCGTCCGCGCGGAATTTAAAAAACTTAATTAGTATGTTTTCTTCCAGATTATACTATTATAATAAAGCATAAACACACACTTCTTTGTTGCCCAAGATGTCAGCAATCACAGCATATTTTCGAATAACTCTTCTTTTAATAAAAAGCCCTACATTTACGTTACGCTTTAGGTTATATATTTTTACGCTGTTAAACTTAGGGTTAAATATTTTGGAAAAACCCTAATGTGGGAAAGGGACCATAAGCTACAAGCTGCCAACAAGCAAGCAAAATTGCCATAGTATGGTAATTGGTATTTTGACATTTGCAATTGATAATTTGACACATGTAAACAATAAAATAAAATTTTCATAATTTCATGCGGATGAAGTCGCACGGGAACAGCTAGTTTTCTATATCTATGTTAAATTTCAGCGAGATTAGTTGAGCTGTTCTGGAGATACGTGGTAACAAACATGCATCCATCTAAATTTTTAGTAGAAAATAAGATTTATTGTTATAAAATGGACTTGAATTATGAAGATGAAATTTTTGTTGACATCTTTAGAGGGATAAGAATAATAATAGACATCTCTCGAACTTCGGATAATAAAGTTAAATAAAAAAACATGTTTGAAATTTATTAGACAAGTAGGTAAAAATAGTTAATAGAGCGAGAAATAATATAAATTAAATTAAATAATCATCGCTTCCTATAAATGTACCATCTAATCTAAAATCTACCTTCGTGTGATCTAATCGTTGGACTAATTAAATGAAACTTATCAATTATTAAAGTTGCATTGAAAAGATATAAATATATTGTACTCAGAAAATATTACTATGTTTTCTGATGACATTTATGTTTTCTTTGACTCTTTTGACAGTTGCATCTAACATTTCAAGACATCATAGTCGTATGAGTCGATTTTTCTTATGTTAATCAATTTTTAAACTATAAATTGTTATTACAAATATGTGGGTCGCAGATTGGTCGGACTTTGATCACCATTTTTCATACTTACACGACCTTACTGAACTTACAAATGCGAAATTTTAGATGGATGAATGAATCGAAGGATTTTACTACGTACATATGTATCTCTAGAAATTTGACACAGATTTAGAACATAGTCTAGAAGAATATGTAGGCTATCAAATGTATTTTGTGTACATGAAGACGTCGGTAAAAATTATTGATACATAATCAAAGATATATTGATTTAAAGCTTTATGCATGTCCACATTAAGTTTTCCTATTTTGTTTTCGCGCAATTTCCGTATAAAATATACAAAACACAGATAATATAATACTATACTAGTTGTCACTATTCGTGTTAATGTGTTTTCAATACAAGTGCTCTTGTTTTAATATACAGACTGACATAAGCACACCATGGGTACGCATGATTCACTTTCCCGTCAACTTTCATTCATTTTCCGGACCAGATAAAAGTCGCCGCCGTTTGCCAAAATATCTTAACGAGCCGTGCCAAAAGCCGAATTACCGAGAAGAGAGAAAAAACCGTCGCTTTCGTTGTCTAGACGGTGCGCCGAGACGAAAGCTCCGGGAAACTTCCTTGTCTAAAAGTTTCACTGTCAACTTGTGTGACGCAATAAAACTGGTTGGTTTCAGATGTTCGTTGTCACTGTAAATTGTAATAAAAATATACTAAAAAAGCAATGCACGATTAGCTACTTTCTAATGAAATACTTTTGTAAATCCACTTGAAAGCTCTACATTAACAACTACTTAGAAATAATGAATGATGATGAAAATATATTACATCTATTCATTCATATCGAATGTAAAGTATGGAACAATAATGTAAAAACTAACTTGGACTGTTCATTTAAAACTGTACAGTTCAATTGACAACTAAAATTTTGCGTACTCACGCACAGTTTTTGACCGACTTCCCAAAAGAAGGAGGTATTCAATTCGACGGTATATTTTTTTTTTTTTTTTTTTTTTTTTTTTTTTTTTTTTTTTTT